TCCTTTTCTGTACATAATTAACATGGGAATAATATATGGGTAGTTTCATCTGGGCTAAGGAGAACCAACTTTTGAACTCCTAGAAAGTAAATGAAGGTCATTGCTAAGCAAGAAGCTACACGGAGTTGTCCACAGAATTCATTTTCTATGCTTTTGTATCTTTTTTAAGATAAAAGAATCAGCAGTAAATCACTCAGTAAAAAAATCACCATGTTAAAGTTCACCAAAATGTGATGTATATTTAAATTGAGCCTGGGACTGAAAAATGTGAGGCTATATTTAACAAAGATGAATGTTTTGTTTCATACTTTAATTAAAAACCTTTGCAAAACCGTCAATTGCCACAATACCTGATTTCTATTCTCTTTGCTTAAACAGCCTTGTTAACTAACCTTTTTGCAAAGGACAAGCAACAGTTTTCTCAGTGTCATTTTTATTCTCAATTTGAAAAGACAAAGATAGCAGAATAACATAGATTTTCCTCTGATTTTGTTTATGTTTTGGCTTGAGAATTTTTCAGTGTTATGAAAGCAGTGGATGTGTTTTGATACTACTGATGAATCTCACCCATTCCCTCACATTCCCGGGTGCCCACAGTGAGGCACACAAACACATCACTTTTACAGTGGAAAAAAAATAGGCTGTAATCCTTCTGGTATCACAGGAATATAAAGTTCAGAAGCAAATCCAAGCATTAGAAACTATCCTTCCTGATGCATAAAATGATCTGAAAGGAAATAGACCTCAAGCCATGGTGAAAAGTCTCCTGACTCAAGAGTCAGCCTCTTCCCAGACACTTTTTTCATGGGAATTGCTACTGAGCAGTAGAAGATGCAGACACCACTGACCTTGACTTTTACGCAGTGTTGTGGCACTCGTGTTTTCAGGTGCTTTTAACTCACACCAGCTCTTTGGTATGGTGAGGCTTTCTGCTCCTCATCCTTAGAGCATCTCTCCATCCAAATGACAAATTAGAGAGAAATAAGGGATACCCTTTTTTTTTTTTTTCCCCCAAAAATAAAGGAAAAGTACAGTGGTTCTGGTTTTGGTTTCTTTCACACAGATAGATACAAAAGTTATTTCAAGAGGGATAAGGAAATTTAGACACAGTGCTAGGATGACATTTTTCTGTGTATTGCTACATTCTATTTCCTTTGATTTCATCAGGGAAAAATGCTGTGTTTTAAACAGCATCCTTGTAAAACTTAGTCTAACCCAAGTTCACAATAAACTGGTCCAAAACCAACTTTAAAGTTTTGATAATTTTGTCCAACTTTGTCCTTGATAATTTAAGCTGGAAACAAGAAATGAAATTCAATAACTGGAGATTTTTTTGTGATTTGTAGTTGAAAGGGGAATTTTGTACTTTCCAGGGCTCTGTGGGTCTACTTTTATAATATAATGGTGTATGCCCCTGCCATCCCAGGACAAGAACCCCTAGCTGACAATCCCATTCCTCTCAGTGACAGCTCCCTTTGGACCTACCTGGAATAGGTGCTCAAAATCTACGTGAAACTATTACAAACCCTTTCCAAGCAAAAGATAACAAATGTTGCCCATCATCATGCTGTCCAAATTATTATTAATTATTCCTGTGTAAATACACAAACATTACTAATAACAATGACAGCTACTTTTTCATTTCAGTAAGCTTTAACTAGTGACTTTCTGTGTGTTTATATTTCTTGTATGTTGCTGTCACAGACATGTATACAGATATACTGCTACAATAGAGGAGCTGAAGGCTTGATCATGCAACTATATAGCCACTAACATATTGCTGAACTAATAGGTTAATAAAGGTTTCTCACTCTTAGTTCTCAAAGTTCAGGTCCACTGATCCATATATAATTGTTTTCATTATTTTGCCAGATGTGTTAAAGTACAAAGCACTCCCCTTGACACTAGCACAACATAAAATTTGAAAGCACAAAACTCTTGCCTACCAAATCCAAGGCAGTTGCTCATGGAATCACTGGCCACAGACACCCTACGGACTCTTCTCTTCCTGCACCTTCACTTTACAGCTTGCCACCACAAGCACTCTCACAGTACTTTTTTTCTCACTGAAATGGTATTTCCATAGTACTTGAAAGTTCTAGGAAGCTATCAACTATCTGAAAAGTCAGTTAGAACTGTCATAGTCCTGAGTACTTCACAATCTAGTGTTCAAGGAAATCTTGTAGAAACACAAACATGTTGGATTAAAATATTTTCCTACTCGCTTCTTTATAAACCAGGAGAATAAATTCTCCATTACCTAACAGAATTGCACAGATAGAACTGAAGGAGGAATCCAGCCTATGTTGTCTTGTACATTTTTCTTTTGGCTGTATCACTAGCCCAGTTAAAACTTTGTTTGATGGCTGATATGTATCTCTAGTTGATTTAGCATAATTTTGGGGTTTCAATAATATGCAGATGCCTAATCCCAAGAGCCATTAAGCATATAAATATTTTTAGCTCAAGGTTTGATATACGTCTTTTGGCTGGTTAGTTTTCAAAATATCTATTTGTACTTGTGCCAAATACTCTTCCATTTCCATAGAAGCCTCCAGTTTATGCACCATCACTTTATAAATCTCCAAATAAAATCTTCCATGTTTATTTTTCTTAGAGAGAAAATCCCATTTAATAAGTGTGGGCCTCCTTTCTTTATATGTATGTTTCTACTGAGATGGTATCTGTATTCTTTGTAAGTTATTTTGGTGTTTGAGGTTTTTTTATTATGCAAAGAGAGGAAATAAAAATAATGCTATAAATATATTGCATTTCTATTGTGGGTTTTATCTACACATAGTTTAAAGCACATAATCATCATTATTTTTGTCTGATGATACTGGAGAAAGAGTAGTGTTATGAGGCTAGGAAGGGGAGAAAAGAGACTTTCCTGGAGTTGCAGCCAATATTTTGTCAGCACCTGACACCCACTCCCTTTCTGATAGTGTTTGGTTCCTTCCACCATGTGTGCTTCTTCGGGTATTTAGTTTCTTGAAGTAAATTGTGAACTATGTCCTTAAAGGGTGTCAGCAGATATTTTATAACATATACAGATTTTTTTTCTCTCATTTTTATATATGCATTTTGGCTGATTAATTTTAAAAATATCTGTTTACATTTGTACCAAATGTAAATTTCTATTTATAAGTGGGTTACTCACCTTCTGGTGCAGGAAGGAGAATATAAAGCCAAGGTAGAAAGGGAAAAGAATGGCACTGGCAGCAGCATCCCTGGTCATCCAGAAGCCAGGCATCAGCCTGACATTCAGTCAGTGCTCCACAGAGCTGGAATATCAGATCCATCATAGCCTCGATCCTAGTTTTTCAGGCCCTATGTCTTTCCTGAATACCCCAGTAATCACAGAGCACTGGTAACTGCATTCATCCCAGTCCTCACTGGCAGCACTACAGTATATAATCCTGATGGCATGGGCAGTGATGCCTCCAGAGTTAGTTCAGAGCCTTCTCCTTCATTTCTAACATATGTACATGGCTTCCAGAGGGCCTCCATGCTGCCATGGAAGCAACCAGGATTTTATCCCGGGCAACCCGGCTTTAAAATATTCAATCCAGGATATCTTAACAGCATAGCAAGAGCAGGCTTAGAGGCTCTGTATGTTCAAATATTTATGCTTCCTGGGTGAGTCTGGCAAGAAGTGCTGCCAAGTGTACTGTTATCAGTCTCCTATGCTGGCTAATTTAAAATTAACTTGGGCACTGCCTACATGAGTTGCAGCAACATATTTGACCGAAACCATCATGTCCCTCCAGGCAGGATACCATGTTCAGGGAGAAGGTGAGGGTGAGATGAATCATTTTTAAAACCTGAGCTACTTCACCAGCTGGAGAGACTGACAGTGTAATTCAGGCAGCTGTGTAGCAGCACTAGAGAGAGCACCCTCACACGAGAGATGTGAAAGAGGGGCCCAACAAGCAATCTATAGAGTACCTATGCTTGGGATGCCACTGGCCACTGTGACAAAGGTGAATGGAGGCTTGTGTTTCACACGTGCTCACAAGGTGCTCAGAGAGCTGTGGTCAACAGAGTAAAATTAGGGACACCCTTCCCATGATTTCATAGGCATGACAATAGTTTTCAGGAATTGGCATTTATCAGAAACATTTCTTTGAAAAAAACCCCAAAACACTGAAGAAGTAGGAGAGGAAAATAAAGTGATGTGCGAATTTTCTCACTTTGTCTGCAGAGTTTTTTCTGTGTGTTACTCCAGAATTGGACCCCGATAGTTTTGCTTGATTATTCACTTTTGAGTGAAAGCTACTATATTAGTGTACAGAGATCAAGCTAAATCATGAAAAGATATCAAGCATCTGGGTGTTTACTCATTTATGGGATTGTTCCAGACGAACACAGACTATTATAAAAATAATTCACTCATTTCCCAGTGCCTTTCTAATAATGCACACAGCCATATCAGCCAGAATCTAGTTGAAACACTTAATCTGGCTTCAGAAGAGAGCAAGTTCAGTTCCCCGCCACAGAAATGATACGGCACATAGGAAATCACAGCTTCTGCTCCTTGATGATTTAAACCTAGCACAGCCCATTTGGTTTCTGAATCTCTCCTAATCATGTTTTGTGTTTGAGTAGCGCTCTCCACTCATCCGGCTGCATAACCAGCAAATAGTTTCACTTTTTCACTTTACAGGACTATTTCAGGAGCAGGATGAGTTTTAAGAAATTTGCTGTTAAAAGGAAACAAAAAAATGCGAACAAGAAGTTTTCCGGGCGCTCAGTCCGTGCCGTGCAGGATTATCTCAGGTTTCCAGTTTCCTAGGAACGTAGTAACTTCCCCGTGGGTTGTTTTGTGGGCGGTGTTTTTGAATATATGCTAATTCAGCTTTCCTGACAGGGAGAGGAGCCGTGTCTCAGTTACACAGCTCTCCTGACAGCCGGCAGTGGCGAGCGGCTGCTGCAGAGCCAGGCCATGGGCTGGCGCTCCTGACAGGATCGCTCGCCCTCCCGTCGGGGCCCGTCGGGGACACAGCACGGCCCTGTCGCTTCTGTCGCCAGCAGCGGGGCCGACATGTGCCTGTGACCATGGAGATGAAGGACTCGGGCAGCGTGGTCCTCACAGCCTACCATCCGCACAGCCCGGCCAGGATACCGGGCATGGAGCAGAGCTTTGTACAGGATATCCCTCCCAGCCATTCGCCCGCCAGCAGGTAAAGCCCGAGGGATGGGGACCGGTGCTGTGTCCTGATGTTTTGCCAGTGTTGGACGTGAGGTTTGCTGGCTGTATGACAGCTTGAGAGCGTATGCCGACCACTTCGCGAGCACTTTGCTGTCGCACATTTTTTCGCCTCCACCGGGGAAGTGATTCAGGCCAAGGCTGCGGGTCAGGCTTGGGAGGGGGGAAACGCGAGTGCTTATTTTAGATCTTGTGAGTCAACAGATCACACCAGTTTCCTGTCCAGGATACTCAACAAGACAATCCCCAGGAAAAAAAGGCACGTGAATCAGGCTTCTGCTCAGGTCGCCTAGCACTATGTTACTGAAAGTGAGATGGCTGGACTGGCTGAGTTTGGCGCTCAGAAAGTTGATTCTGGCTTTGGTTTAGAGGATTATTTAATTCCTTCTCCATTCACCCACCAGGTCAAAACCAGTTCCTTCTCTTTCTTTTCTTTTCTTTTTTTTCTTTTTTTTTTTTTTTTTTTTTTTTTGTTTGTGAAATTGAGTTGTTTCTTTGCACACCCACAAGCACACAGTGGGAGAGTGCATCGTTAAAGACTTAGTCTAAATTAAGAAAATTCCTTTGTGTTGCAGGAAACTAAGTATTGTCTTAATTAATGCAGTCGTGTGTATGTTTGCCTCCCTGCCCTGTAAGAATGCCTGTATTTACACAGTTCAAAAACTAACAATTTGGGCAATTTTGTTGTTATAGAAAATCTGATCTTTCTCTTCATGCGTGTCTGAGTTTTGCGATTTTCTCCAAAGAAGCGGTATAAAAATTCATACTGTGAAAAGTTGAAGAAAGTAGGAAATGCTACTTTGTGGCTTGACTAAAAAGAAAAAAAAACCTAAAGTGTGACGAAACAGCAGATGGCATTATACCCAGGAATTAAGTCTGTGTCTACTCTTAATAAAAATAATGACATTTACTTCATATTGTTTATTTATAGCCAATAGCTGTTTTGTTTTCAATGTCATTATTTAGATTATCTGCATCTTCCTGTTCTTTGTGTCTTTCCCTGGCTGTCTCATAAAGATAACTCCTTTGTTCTGTTGAAGTTGTTTGAGAGCAGTACCAAAATACACAATTTCATGTTAAGAAAAGAAACAGAGTCTGAGTTTTTAGATGTAATAAGAATGGCATTTGCTACTCAAAACTGAGAGCAGTGGTTTGGCCTTGGGTTACTGGGGAGTATGCAATTTCTTGCCCTAGGAACAGCACTAAACTCTCTCTCTCTTTAAGTTTGTGAGCAACAGAAATGTGGTGTTTTGCTGGTTTTCTTGTAGGTGTGCTAATTGTTTTAAAATGATCCTGAAACTTAAGCTCAGAGTGTATGAGGGTTTAAATCACATACATAAATCACATACATAGTGCCTACAAAAAGCAGAAGTGCAAATTACAGTTCTTGAAAGAAAAAAACAAAAGAGGATCCTGGCATTTTGATGGGGAACATATTTTGAAAGCTCCTGCCAATGAGGAAAAGCCATGTGTCTCTCTATGCATCTATATACCCATATCTCTCTATCCATCTATCTATCTATAAATATATATATCTCCATAGCATTTTGTTGCTGTCTCCCCTTTCTTGTCCTCAACTTCCTGCAGCTGTCTAATAGCAATAGCCAAATTCTGCCATATGGGCAGTCAATGGCTGTCTGACTTTCCAAAGCCTGTTCAAGAGAGGGGTTTTATTAACACAGCATGCAGTCCTCTGGAATGCAGAAGCCATGAAGGCAAATGCACTGAGTGTTTTAGCAAATGGTAAAATAGGATCTGGCTTAATCCCTACTTCATCTTCTAAGAACTCTTTCCTGTACTGTATTTTCTGTATAGTTTCCTCTGCTGCCATCCTAATGCAAGAAGTTTTGTTATAGATTCTGTCTGGTGTTCCTTGATCCTGAGGGCAGCTACTAGCACTATGGCATGCTAACTCCTTGGCTCTCCAGGAAAATGATTCAAAAAAGCATGAAAAGAACAGAGGTGTCACTTATTTTTTGTTTGATAACAAAAGCAGTTGGGACCCATAGCCTGACTTTCCTCTGAAGTCAGCTAGGTTAGGTTAGATGTAGCTCTAAAGAAGTCCATATTTGAGATGTATATCTGTGAGAACAGAATCAGTCTTGGATATTAGCCTTTGATTTGATAAACTGCTGACCAGTTCTCTCTCAGCTTAGGAATCAAGGTACTTCATTTTCCTTCCTCTCCTCCTAACATTTCTCTTGCTTTAGAGTGATGCACCCTTTATATCAGAAGAACAGTTCCACTCATAGGAGCCAGACTTAGATTTGTCCTCCAGCTGTTTTCTCTTGCAAAAACTTTCACTTTGGGAACCTTCTAAGTAGAGGTTTATCACAGAAAGGGGAACCTAATGCAGCCTCAGTGGGCATTTAACTGCACTGCTTCCCACCATTTAAAAACACACTGATAAAAAAGAAGGAAAGACTTAAGTAACTATCATGAGCTGCGAAACGAATTGACTAATCTTAAACACTCTTTGCAATCCAGCACAAAGCTAAGAAGCCCATGGACACCAAAGCTTACACCAGCAGCTGTATCAGACCACTTGTATTCACATCCTTCTACAACTCTTGAAGGGCCAACCAGGCAGGCTGTGTGTACATGTCTAAAACACACTGGCAGTATCAGGATCAGCGTGAAGTATAGCAGATGCAAGTATTTTCATTCCTAAGCCCAGTGGGTATATACGTCATTGTAAGTTAGGGGGTATTAGCTGCTGGACTGTAAGGGGAACAGGAGAAAATTTGCATTAGTTACTTTAAATGGAAGGTGCATCAGTGCACAAGGAAGGATAGAGAATTCATAGGAGTAATGAAGGGGAGAGCAGGATGAAAGTTTAACTGCATAGCGATGCCATCAGCAGTCTGCAAAGGAGAAATCTAGCTTCCAGATGTAATGTTGGATAACATCAATAAAAAGGTTAATAAGAGGGACCACAAATTCCAGCCATTCTCCAGAACAAGAGTTCATCTGGGGGACTAAAGATAGCAATACTTAAATATCTTTGCCTCAGCTATCTGTATTGTTCAATTATATCTTTATCCTTTTGTTGCATCTTGCAGACTTACTTAACCAGTTCTATATATGGGATGAGCCCTGAAAACTGCACTGTTGAGTTTCCTAGAGGTTCAGGAGAATTCTGCAGCAAAACTTTCCATTAATTCTGCTAGTGTAACTAGCAAATTCATTTTCCATTTTTGTCATGGGATAAGGTCCCTTTGCTTGCCATCTGCTTAGCATGATTGTAATTGCTGATAGCATTTATTTTAGCTTTTATTTATTTATTTATTTATTTATTGCTTGTAAGAACAAGGTGTTGGGGAGATCTCTGTTTTGTTTGCTTGGCAGTGAGGCTGACTCTATGGCATATGAGTATAGTGGGAAAGATTGCTGTTCTTGTGGGACACTCATTATTCTTTTTTAATTCCATTTATTAGAATACACATGTCACAAGTACAGGTACCAGAGACACCAGAATATCACACTATCACTTTCAATACAGATACTATCTCAGTGCAAAGGCAAAAGTGCTTATTTCTGTTACATAATGATGAACTTTCCCATCCTCGTTTCAGAGAATGAAGGACTTTGTTGTTGTGCACAAATACTGCTCCTGGATTATATAGAGGAAAACCGGGGCCATGGCCATATGTCTTCCTCACATCCCCTTTTTATCCTGTTAGGAGAAGCTAGGAGGAGTTATTCCTGTGCTCAGAGGAAACAGGCATGACCTCTATGCCAAATGGCCAGTGAGCTCTCTAAGGTAATTATGCAATTAGGGGAGGACAAAGCATTCCTAAGTGAGTCATACTCAAGCTTTCCTTGACTCCATTATGAGACTTACTAAGTTCCTCAACCCATTTGCTATTAGCATAGTTACCAGCAAAGAACTCACTCTGCACTGCAAATCACAGATACTTTCACTGGAATGAGTGGCTGTTGCTAATGTGTGCATGATATAAGTATCAGAGAAAAGAAAATCACATTCATGAGCTTAGTTCCTGCAGAATGGGATTAGAGCAGCTATTAAAGTGCACATCAAGCTTTTTATACATGGAACAACCTCTGTAATCAATACTCATACAAAGAGCAGCATATATACTGCCAAGCCTAGGAGCTTGCTACACAGGTAAAAGGCTAAGTGGATTTCAGCACAGTTGATCAACACAGCCAAGACCCCTTATTAGCTTCTTTCCTAGTCAACTACAAGTCTGGTACTTCCAGTTTTTTTCAGAGAAATGTCTTTCCAATCTCTTTACATTCAGCATGTCTCTCTCTCCTACAGTTGGAGGGTGACTTTCAGGCAGACATTGCTATACTGTAGAGTCAAAAAAGAACAGGAATAATTTCTGTATTGCTTGAAAGATACTGTGTTGATTGAGTTACCTGCTGGCTGGCAGCTTCCAGGATCCCTGCTTTCCAAATCTAAGTCTTGCAGATTTGGGGCCAATATTAATGTCATTACACTTTACGTTTTATAAGCATGGCACCAGATTGTTTTGTTATATTCATTCCCCTTTGCAAGCCCCAAGATACTACAAAAATATGTTAGAGTGAGGTAAAGCGTCCTGAAATTATGACTGCATCCCTGGAAGGAAGTAACTGGAGGAGGAGCATTTATGCACCAAAATTTGTCTTGTGACAAGAGGATCTGTGTGCACAGTTCAGGTTTTATCCCAACAGAAGCAGATTTTATCATGCTGAAGTAAGGTCTGTATACCCTGAGGCTGGGTGATCTGGGTTGGATTTCTGTCAGCGCTGATTGAACAGCTCCTCTGCTCAGTTGTATACAAATGATGTCAAGAATGTCTTCTTAGTGATGCAGAATAAACAACCTTAACTATTTTGCATGTTTATCTCACTCTACCATAAACTTCCCAAGAAGACGAAAATAAAAATCTGGCTCCTTTTTCACTGTAAATCTTGACATAGCTTGGGCCTCTTGCAGTAACTTGGACTCAAAACCTATGAAAT